TCCGACTGGTCACGGACGTGTCAAACACGATCTGGAGAGCTCACCTAGGAGACCTCCACACACAAGATATGTGGTCTGCGGACGAAACCTCCCTGCGTATCAATGTCAGGGCACTCTGGGCAATCCGATTGGCTTGTATGGTTTTCCTTCCCCACCTGAGGGGCAAGTCCATCCTTGTTCTGTCGGACAACATGACAATGGTGACGTACATAAACAAACAGGGTGGGGCCCATTCCCCTCGCCTGTGCTTGGAGGCGATCCACCTGTGGGACCTCTGCGGACATCCACTCGATGGCCTCCTATCTTCCAGGCTCCCAAAACATTCTGGCGGACAGGCTGAGCAGATTGGTTGTAGGTCATGAGTGGTCCTTGCGCTGGGATGTAGCCCATTCCATCTTCCACGAATGGGGCTCTCCCCACCTGGACCTGTTCACCATGGGGCAGAACAAGAAGTGCCCGCGTTTCTGCTCCCTTATGGGTCAGGGACAGAGTTCCTTAGGGGATGCTCCCTTCTTCCCCTGCCCACGAGGCCTGTTGTACGCCTTCCCGCCTTTTCCACTAGTTCATAAGGTCCTCCTGAAAGTGCAGGAGTTCAGGACATCCCTGATTCTAATCACCCCGGCATGGCCCAGGCAACATTGGTTCTCGATCCTCCTCAGCCTCTCCTGCGAGAGGCCCATATCCCTTCCACTGGTCCCGGACCTGATATCCCAGGACTTGGGCAGGCTCTGACAGCATGGAAGCTCCGTGGTTAATGGCAAAGGAGCTCCAGTGCTCTGGACAGGTTCAGGAGGTCCTCCTGGGGAGCAGAAAACCCTCTACCAGGGCCATGTATCTGGCTAAATGGAAGTGGTTCTGCTGTTGGGCTTCCCAGAAGGGGGTGCACCCAAGGTGGGTTCCAATTCCCCTGATCTTAGATTACCTGTTGGACCTTAGGCTCCAGCATCTTTCTTTCTCCTCCATCAAGGTTTACCTGGTGGTCATCTTGGCCTTCCACCCAGGGAAAGGGGTGAAAACCCTATTTGCCAATCCAGTAGTCAACAGGTTCCTGAAAGGGCTGGACAGGCTCTATCCCCACATCTGCCAGCCTGTTCCCCAGTGGGACCTAAACTTGGTTCTCTCCAAACTTATGGAGCCCCCGTTCAAACCGTTAGCGACGTGCTCCCACTTCCACCTATCTTATAAGGTGGCTCTCCTGATCACTTCCACCAGGTGGGTATCTGAGCTTAGGGCACTCATATCAGATCCCCCTACATGGTATGTTTTAAAGATAAGGTTCGGCTCCACCCTCACCCGGCTTTCCTTCCACACCTCCCAGGACATCTTCCTGCTGGTTTTTTACCCTAAACCGCACGCATCTGGGAAAAAGCAGCCTTTATACACTCTAGACGTACGTAGGGCGCTAGCCTTTTATTTAGACAGGACCAAACCATTCCGGAAGTTGTCACAACTTTTTGTAGCTATCGCAGAGCACATGAGGGGCCCACCCGTGTCCACCCAGCGGATAGCCTCTTGGATAACCACCTGCCACAGGGAGTGCTACACCCTAGTGGGCGTTTCAGCTCCACCTCTTAGAGTGCACTCCATGAGGGCAGTGGCCGCCTCCACCGCTTTCGTAGTGCAACTTCCTATCCTGGACATCTGCAAAGCCGCCAAATGGTCCTCTGGCCATACGTTTGCCAACCACTATGCACTGTGGCATCAGGCCAGAGGGGACGCTGCCTTGGGTAGGGCGTCCACCTCCTTAGGTTTTGCTTTGGAGTCACCTATATTGGAATGCACATGAGCAATCACTCAAAGAAGAACGGTTACTTACCTCATAACTGTAATTCTTCGAGATGTGTTGCTCATGTCCATTCCAAATCCCTGCCCACTGCCCTTTATCTGGAGTATGCTGGTAAGAAGGCGGTGAGGGGGCAGCAGGGGTATATATGGGCCGGTATACCGGCACCACTCCAGGGGGCTCCCTGCTGGCCCTAAGGGTACTGCTGAGGGAAAAACTTCTGACGACACGTGCACGCTGCATGCACATACCTATATTGGAATGAACATGAGCAACACATCTCAAAGAATCACAGTTACGAGGTAAGTAACTGTTCTTTCTCTTAACTTCTCATTGGGAGCAGCAGAACAGTTCAGCTCCATTTACTCTCTCTACAAGGTTCAGCTTCAGTGTAACTTGGTGCTAAAGATTGCTTTTTACCCATCTCTGTGGGATAGAAATAACATCTCTCCCACCTGGTCAAATAAGCATAAGAAAATGTGGCGGTGATAATCTACTTAAGATCACTTGATAACTTTGTTATTTCCAAAGATTAGTGTACTGTAGCATAGGGGGTCTGAAACCCCATTAAAAAGCTTTGAGGCAATTCGCTGCAACTCATATTGTGATGTCCTTTATCAATTGGAAACTGTTTTCAATCTCAGTGGAAAAGTGGCTGAATAGAAAAAATTAGTTAAGAACCTCATGATTCATCATGAGAAAGGTCATACTGGGTCAGACCAAATGGTCCATCTAGTCTTGTATTCCGCTTTCCAAAAGTGCCCAATGCCAGGTGCTTCATAGAGAATGAACAGAACAGGTGATCATCAAGTGTCACTATGTTATATGCATGTGTACACACACAAGACTTGAATAGTTCAGTTTTCTTTTTTCCACAATAAAAACTGAATTGTGTGTATATAAAATATTTGTGTTTCAGAGAATTACATAGCTTGGCCTACGCTGATCTCTGCTAGTGGTTGCAACAGGAGCCAGTTTATCCCAGCCAGAGTTTTCACCTGGTTGTACAAGAAACATACATTTAATTACTGTGTTATGAATGCTGTGGTTATTGTCTGTCTTTATAAGCAGGTCAAATTTGGAAGTTTCCCAACTTGGCTATGCAAACTTGGGGTTGGGTGGTAGAGTTTCTCTCTCCAGCCTGCATTCGGCCCTCTGTGGTAGCTATTCCTCTCTGCAGTTGGCCACTTGGTCAGCAGTCATTCTGATGGTCCGCCTTCAATGACTGCTTTGTCAGTTTTTCAGGATGGGCACAAAATGCCCCTTCATCTCACATATGGGTACACCTGAATTTTCATTCCATCTATGCCCCTATGCTATGATGCCAAAGCAATGCTTCCAAGGTCAGAAGGCCTTTCAGAGGCCCTCCTCTATTTAGTTAATTTCATTCTATTTGCGCTGTCATGACAAGGCTCAGGACATGCCTTTGACATTTTCTTGCATGGAAATATAATTTCAAAATTTTTTTGGTGTTCCTACAAAGCTGTCACATTCTCTGATTTGATGACCTTGTGAATTCATTCAGCTGTGGGAAAGGTCAGAAACAGTCAGCTCCTGTAAGTGGCTAAGATAGTTGTGCTGAAAGGATTATCAAGATGAAGAATGCACAGAAAGGTAATTTGAGGAGAGCATGGTAGCTTATAACACATGGTTATGTGAAGGTGACAATGTCTTTGTATTACAGTAACCCTAAATCCACTTTGTGGCTAGGAACTTTCAGTTCTAAGGTGGTGGTGGTTTTTTGTTTTGGTTTTTAAAGAACGCTTCAGATGTTTGAAATAGTTCTGAATAATCCAGGGGAAAACCCAGTGAGATGATGAGAGGTGGAATTAAAAAGGGGGCAGAGGTTGGTAATTGCCAATTAAGAAGATGTTTTTTTTCACAGAGGGGATGAGGATGCATGGTTGTACTGGCAGACATAAACCTGGAAACCAAACTCTTTCAGTCTCCAGAGAAGCATAAGGATTACTCCATCACATCACCTCCTTTTATTGATTTGAGTTATAAATTGCAACTCTAGAATTCTATTGCATACAAGCAGGAATTTAAAAACAGTCTGATCGGATATAGATATACTGTGTACACTGTGTATACATACACATAATTAGTCGAATTGCTAAAAAAGCTTACAACATGAAGAAGTGTCTTCTTAGAGCTTCTCTTAAACATAAGGGTCAAATTCAAAACTTACGTGGAGGTTAGACTCATTTACACTCATTTGAGACATCATTTATGCTCAGATACCCTTAGTCTGTTTACATCCATGCATGAGGGACCAGCTTCTTTCCTGAGTCAAGATCAACTTGGCACAGGACAAAATCTGTTATGGATTTCTGATTCTTAATCTGCACTGGCCCAGATGGAATTTAGAGTAATCTAAGAGCTGTTATAGCTTGCATCAATGGGAAATGGTCCCTAATAGCAATGATCTTGTGCAATCTATGAGCTGGAATAGCCAAGAAAAGATGCAAACTGTTTCTCCCTGCCCTTATCCTTTTCCTCTATATCTTTAGGTGGCTGGCGTGAGCAAAGCTCTTACGCCAGTTGAAAATTGCCCTCTGCCATAGAAATTGTTAATGAATGAGCTGTGGCTAGATTCTAGCCCCTTTGCATTGCTCAGGTGGCCAAAAAAGGACCAGGCCAGGGTGGGTAATTTGGCTCAGTGAATCTAAATTGATGTAAATTATTTATGAAGGAGCTAGAAGAAGGTGTATATTAAAAATGGGTGAAGATTAATGTACACCTTTCTTGTGTTCTTCGTTATGTAAATTACAATACACTCTTTGTAATGACTTTCCTTGCATGTGGATAGAGTGGGCATGAAGGTGTCTAAATAGGTCTGATTTACACTATTTTACGTATCACTTATGTATTTGGCAGCATGAGATGTATTGTGTTATGATTATTATGTTATGATCTTACAAAATATTTCTCTGATTTACTGGGTCTAATTTTTCAATTTGTGCAACTTTGCTTAATTTCTGTGCACAGTTACAGAAATTGCATTTGTAGATTTGCTATTTGTTTTTGTACAGGCATATCACAAATTTATACACCCACTTTCAGTGATTGCATGTGCAAATAAGGCATGCTAAGATACGTGCACTTTTGAACATGCATTTGCAAATCAGGCCTCTGCATATTCTGATGACAGTTACATTGCTTATTTTATCCAAAGAATGTTGTTATTAAATAGTTCTGAATCCTGTTTTCATAGATTTCAATGAGGCGGTCCCAGAAACAGAAAGGCTGGACTCAAAGGCACTGAAAACTCGAGCCCAACTTTCAGTAAGGAACAAACGGCAGAGACCTACTAGAACAAGACTCTATGACAGTATCAGTTCAACTGATGGAGAGGACAGCCTTGAACGAAAGGTGAGAGGTCTTCTTTTTCTCGTATTCATAGGATGATGTGCTAGATTACCCTGGTAATTTGTTTCATCCTGTATCTTCGTCTCTTCATTTTAGTGCAGGTAGTTGTATTCATCTATGGCCAACATACTCTGGATAATAGTCTGAACAGTGTGCAAGTCCTGTCACCTTGGAGGCAGCACATCTGTTTTTCTCATGGGAACAGCAAGATTTCTGTCTTACTTACATGTGTTATGCTATTGTTATGTAGGTCATTTCATTGTTTTCCTCATTCGAACTAACAGAGAGCACCATGCAGAGCAGGTCATTTAATTTACGTGGGAGGAGAAGTGAACCTGAATCTTGCATTTGTTTATTTCTCTTTGTGAATGACAGATAATATCTGCTCTTTAGCTGATCCTGACTCTAGAACCTATAAGAAAATTGTTAGTACGGAACAGCTGTGTGTGATATAAAAGGTAACAGTGTGACTTAGAACATTGTTTTAAAATATAAAGGCGCTAAAACCTGTTATTAAATGAAAGGATTGCATGTTCAAAAAAAATGTTTCTCTGATTGGTTGCTAAATGGCATAACTTGCTTTATAATCTCTTATACCCACAGCCTTCAGACAGTTACAGTAATCCCATGCACATTTCAAAACCACCTCTGCCCATATGTATGAGAGCATCCTCACCAGCATCAGATTCTGGTGCTTCCTCCCTCTCCCCAATGGCTAGCAGTGCAACCTTCTCATTTGACAACGTAGCTGAAAACCAAGAAGGAGGACAGCACCACAAAGGAGGTGTGCTTTCCCATTATGCTCGGGGAGACACTCCACTTTCCTCTCCTTCAAAATCCGGTCACAGTTCTGAAACATCTCCCTTGCATCACCCAACGAACAGGAATGTTTTACAAGATGAAGGTATAATTATTTTTTACAAATGAGTCAATGCATCACTTTGCTCACGTACATTTATGTGGGGCACTTTTCTTGTTTCATTAGCAATTAAATCTCGAATGGACACTGTCCACAAAACCTCTTTTAGACACCTTGAAGTCAGAAAATACTAATTCTCTTCATTTGGTGGTATGAGAAATAGACACAGATTAAGCTGAGACCAGAATTATTTTCGTTTTTTCCCATTGACCTGCTTGAAAAGGAGGTGGGGGACAGAAATGCTTTGACATTTTTATCCCACATGTTTATTTTTTTTAATTCGGAATTTTTGAAAAGTTCAAACATTTGTCAAAATTCACAAAGTTTCAGTCAGCTCCAATTACTTCCTGGCTATGTGTAGACTACATCCCTTTTTCGTAAAAGGGATGTAAATTAGACATATCACAATTGCTAATGAAGCGGGGATTTAAATCTCCCCTGCTTCATTAGCATAAAAATGGCTGCTGTGGAAAATAAAGCCTTTTCCGAAAGATCCCTTATCCCTTATTTCATAGAGGATATTATTTTCCGCAAGATCAGTGCCTAGACTGGCGCTTTTTTCCGACAAAGCTCTGTGCGGAAAAAAAGTGGTAGCCATTTTTATGCTAATGAAGCAGGGGAGATTTAAATCCCCGCTTCATTAGCAATTGTGATACGTCTAATTTACATACCTTTTACGAAAAAGTGATGTAGTCTAGACGTAGCCCCTGAGTATACTGGACTAGTGCGTAGGATCAATCTTTAGTATTTTTTTTACTGAAATCCTGACAGGCACTTTAGTAACTCTTCCTACTTTCAGATAGGAATAAGAGATTCTCCGGAAAAGGGCTTTATTCCGGAGGATCGCGCCAGTCTAGACGCTTTTTTCCGGCTTTTTCCCAAGCCGGAAAAAAAAGCGGCGGACATGTTTATTTAAATCCCGCGGGGGATATTTAAATCCCCCGCGGATTTCCCTATTCTGACTTACCTGCTTTGCATGACTATTCCGTCTTATGGGGCCAGTCTAGACATAGCCCCCAGGTTATCTTGTGTTTGTGGTGTGAGTTGAGCTGGGTTTGTTTTAGAGACTGAGAGAACTCGTATGTGCATGCACATCTTTGTGTGGATAAGTGGCTTTTGATTAAACCTATAATTTATCACACCAATATATCACTCCTATATATATATATATATATATATATTTGGTTAATGAACATGACACCTTTAGCAAAAATATTCATTTCAAATATTTTTCTGAAAAGCTGAAGTATTCTGGAAAGTCATAGCTCTGAACAGTTACACCATAATGAGAGAGATTACATTCCAAAGGTTGTTTAAAGTGTTTATCATTTTTTTTAAACTAGCTCTATTTCAGATTCTTTTTGGGAGTATGGCCATTTTGTAAAGCAATATAAGCCTCCCAGCTCTAGGGACAGCAGATGTGGTTACCGACCAATTTTCTGGTTCTGTACTGCTACTCTTCCTACTATGCAGCTGCTGGCATAGGGAATGTGGATCAAGTTCCATGTCATGTGGCCTAGTCACATGCCCTTGCATACCTTGCTGAATCATAGTAGCCATTATTTACATGTTGTCAGGTGCATTCCCAGGAAGGCTCACATGGTGAGGGAAAAGCTTCTCCTAAGGCCTTCATTCTTCCAAATGGCCTTGAATAGACCCTTCAGAGCTGGCTGTCTATACTCAAAGCATTTTGCCTAGTGAGTGTCACCCAGGCATGACTACATGTGAAATACAGATACATAATCAATATTCATAACGTCAGATATAAAAATATTGTGTACAAATAGGATAACCATGTTCTTCAAATCATAACTTTTTCCCATAACATCTTACATGACCTTTCTTGTACCTAACATATCACAATTGTGCCATAATTATATTATCATAATATTATTAAGATGAATATGGAATGTAGTATCACAGCAGTGTCACCTAAGGATCTGTTCTGGGAACAGTGCTGTTCACAAAGTAATACATATAAGAACATATCATTTCAACTTTCCATACAAAATGATGGGGTCTAAATGAGCTGTTCCCACTCGAGAGAGATCTATCATTGTGAATAGTTCTCTGAACACATCTACTCAGTGTACAATGTCAGTCAAAAAACCTAACAATGTTAGGGACTATTTGGAAAGGGTTAGATAATTGGATAATGTGTACAAAAAGCAACAAAAATAATTAAGTATTATGGAACAGCTTCTGTGTGAGGAGAGATTAGAAAGTCTCAGACTGTTCAACTTGGAAAAGAGAGGACTAAGAGAGGTTGTCATTCACCCTATAAAATCATGAATGGTGCAGAGAAAGTGAATAGAAAGTGCTGTTTGCCCTTTCACATAGCACAAGAACTAAGGGGTGCCACCTAATTAAATTAATAGGCAGGAGGTTTAAAACAAAAGGAAGTATTTCTTCATACAATGCTCAGTCAACCTGTGGAACTTGTTGCCAGGTGGTTATGTGAAGGCCAAAAGTGTACATTGATTACAAAATATTAGGTAAGTTTATTGAGGAAAGTACAGTCAGTGTCTATTAGCCAAGATTGTTAGGGACACAACCCCATGTTCTGCATGTCCCTAAGCCTCTGCCTGCCAGATGCTGTTGTTGGACAGCAGAGGATAGCTAATGAATAATTGTCCTGTTCTATTCATTCCCCCTGAAGCATGGAAAGACAGTTACTGGGGTACATGGTTACTTGGTCTGACTCAGAGTGCCAGTGTTATGATTCAGTTGTGCACATTCATTAGGAGATAATTGCTGCCTTCTAATCCTTTTCAGCTGATCTGCTTATATCCAAACTAATTAGATTATAATATTTCTTGCATGATGCCAGAGACGGCCAGGCTATGGCACAAGTAGGCAGTTCATTTCTGTGCTCCTACAGAAGGCTTGTCCATTTTACAGCTTCAGAAAGCAAGTTCTCCATGAATCTATTATCAGGGAGGACGATGGGTAACGTTGGCAGAGATAACGTGGGAACTTGTTAAAATTTGCCAATGCAGTCTGTTCTGAAACATCTAATTTTCTCAGAACGAGACAAGTTTTCACTATGCACAGAAAGCACTGACCAAATATATTGTGCCAGATGGATAGAACTGTGACAAGGTCTTTACTGTATCTGCTGGGGGGAAATCTTTCTGGAAGAGGAACAAGTATCAAGATTGAAAGTCAAGATAACGGAGGCAGGTAGGGAAGTTCCACATATATGATGGAGTGAAAAGGAGCTATTTCTTTTATACTCTAAATCAGCAAAAGACCTGTTGCTTTTAAAATCTAGAATTAATTTATTACCAGTGTAAATCCTTATCTTCAGCTCCTAATTCACTGAAATAGTCTCATTGATTCTATGGAAATAAATAAAGGTTTAAAGAATTGGCTCCAAAGCATGTATAATCCAACAAAGCCATGTTTGCTTGGTGTTTTGTTGTTGTTGTTGTTGTTAGTAATATTTTATTTTTTTAAAATAGAAGTGTTTCACAATTTTATGGTGTTCGTCTTCCTAATTTTTTCTATACTGCTCTTCTCCTTGTTCTTTTTTCATTGTCTTCTCTTCAGAATAGATCCTCAAAGCACTTTGTTATAATAAAGAAAAATGTACAAAAATCCTCTATCACAGCTTGTTTCTCAGCTTTAAATTATGAATATAGATATTATAATGCACAAACTGGGTTTCTGTGCACATAGAACAACATTTCAAAATCAGGACATGATTTCAAACCAAAGTGAACGCTGGATTGAATATCAACCTGGATTTTATCTTTGTTTGTAGCTATTGTTTTGATGTTTTCACTCTGTCCCTTTCCTGTCTGCCTGTCATAAACCTAGCACACATAGCTTCATTCAGTTCAATTTTAGTCTGTTAAATAATAGTGATAAAATAAGAGGACTCATCTGGGAATTCCTAATGCTAAAGGAAGCACAGCAAAATCTTTTCCCTATAAATCTGAAAAGTTTACAACCATTAAATGACAAGAATACATAAAAAAGACAAAAGACAATCTATTTTCTGTGCACTGTGTATGTGTGTGGATCCTGGTATGGATACAAATTGCATAGCAATCTCATTAGCCTTTGTTGTAGGATGCACTGCAGTATTTTTATTACTTTGTGACCTATTCCTCTTACTCCTGTGGGAGGGGAGTAATTCTCCTCCAAAATATTCTATGTCCAATATTTTAAAATTCTGTACATTATATTTCTCAAAATAACAGTATAATCAGGCCAGTTTCTATTATTTTTGTAATTTATTTCAAAATACCTGTTAGCAAATATGTTTGTAACAAGAGAAACAGTAAAAAAGATGCAGGAAATGTGGTTTGTTTGTTTTTTGACAAATAGATTCCTTGCTGACATATTATTACAGAACTTTGAGTCATAATTCATTTAAACTACAGTACAGAAACATATTTTCTGCACCCCTCAGAAGCAGTGGAATGGTTTGGAGGAGTTCAGGGGTAGTGGAAGAACTGAGGAGAGAGAAATAATTGCTGGAAAGGAGCTAGGGCAGGGGTGGGCAAAAGGGCCTCCACGGTCCTGATCCGGCCCACCAAGCAGATGGATCTGGCCCGCGGAGGCCCTGCTTCTCCCCTGCTCCCAGGCCAATTACGGCCAGGGGGCAGGGGAGTACATGAAGCTTTCTCCACTCTGCCCCCATCCTGCGAGCAGTGCGTGGCGCTTCAAAGCGCCACATGCTCCTGGCAGGGTGGGAGGAGGCTTCGTGCGCACCCCAGGCCCTAATTGGCCTGGGGATAGGAGAGCGTGGGAAGTCTCCTGCCACGCCAGGGGCATGGGCACCCAGGGGGAATGTAGGGTGGAGGCAAAGGCACTCTCTCACCCCCAATGATTGTCTGGGGGTGGGAAACCCGGAAATATCTTGGACCCATCCCTTTCGCTTGATACCCTGCCCCTTTTGTTGGATGCCCCGCCCCTTCCTGTGTGGCCTGGGGCCACTTCAAAAATTTCCGAAGTAGCCCCCGGCAAAAAATTATTGCCCGCCCCTGAGCTATAGGAGTGAAGTGGAGGGTTGTTGGATGTGTGTGGGAGAAGTGTGGGATTTCAGGGGAGGGAGTGCTCCCCCATGCAGACCCTGGTTTACCATTAACCTCTCCCATTCAATCAGGCACATTTGCTTGTCCCCATGTGCCTCTTCACACCCATTTCAGTATGTGTCTGCACCCTCATTCAGACATCACTTCTCCCGATCCATCCTTGTCCCTGCACTCCCACTCAGTCACTCCCCTGTTCCCATGTGGCCCTGCCCCCTCACTCAGCCATCTTCTTTTATCCTCGTGTGCTCTTGGACTTCTTGGGTCCCTGTCATTTAGTTGTTGGCTCAATGCTATCACCCAACTAGCTCCTGTGTCCCTGCCACCATTCTGTCCCTCCTACTAGCCTTTCTGAATCCCAGTGAACGTGATAGACTCCCCAGCACCCCACGTACTGTCCATCCCTCCATTTTCTGTGTCTCCTCCCCTAGCCTTGCAGGCAGGGTACTGTGAGGAAAGCAACTCTCAATCCACAGCTGATGGGAGAAGCATGGAACTTTTTGGGGTGTGAGGAAAGTGATTGTTATGGAATTTCAGCCATGATGGTTGCTGAAAATAACTTATTTTTAGAGTATGTGTAATGTAATATATTTGTATTTACTGGCCTACTGTATTATATTTCATGGGTCACTAGTGTGTTGCTTTTATTTCATGAATAAAAAAATGCCAAACTGTTGCACTACAGCAAACTTAGTGCAGGGGTGGCCAACCTAAACCTGAGAAGGGACCAGAATTTACCAATGCACATTGACAAAGAGCAACAGTTAAATGTCACCAGCCTACATCATCTCCCCACCACCTCTCTTAGTACATCCCTCCCACTGGTTAGTGCCTCCTTTTCCTTTTCCTCCTGTCCACTGTGATCAGCTCTTTCTCAGTGGAGACAGTGGAGTGGGGAAGCATGTGTGTGACAAGCACAGTGGAGAGGCTAGGAAGTGGCCCAATGGAATGTTGTCACTTGTAGCTCCAGCCCTGGATTTGGTACCTATGCAAGGAGCCTCATATTAACTTCTGAAGAGCCGCATGTGGCTCTGGAGCCACAGGTTGGCCACCCAGTCTTAGTGATTCTGTAAACTGTTGATGCAAGTGCATCATGGACCTATGAAAAGCCTCTTTGAATGAGCATGCAGGATAGGGAACTTAGCGGGTAAAGTCGTGCTTGTGATAGTTTTTGTTTCTTGCTTGTATAACGTCAGCAGACCCCAGTCTGTCATTGTCCAGGATCAAAACCTTGGAATCTTTATGCGCGAGTCTCTGTTGCATGAGCTAAAAGACACATGTCTCTTAGCCAAGACTGTAGCAGACTCATCAATCTCAAGCTGGTTTAGCTGCTACTAGACGAGAACAGAGTGCCGTGCCATGCCATGCCATGCCATACCATGCGGAGATAAGTTATACTTGCTTGCTTGTTCTTAATTCTGAGGGCTTGATTTACTTGATTTACCTGAGTAAAACCAGGAGTAAATCTAGTGAATTCAGTGGAGTTGTAGGTTGTATTGTCTATTTCCTCTTTTGCTTTTTGTAGGGTTATCAACCAGTAACAGTAATCAAGAGAGGAAAGTATAATTGTAAAATAGCAGAAATTGCCAAAGGGTCTCAGAGCAGGTGTAGGAATTGAAGCTATTTTTAATTCACTTTTACAAACTGACTAGATTTCAAGTTGACAGTGTCTCCTTTAATCAAGTCATGAAAACAAAATAGGTTATTATCTCTTGGCACTCGTGTCATAAAAATTATCCAGTTTTCTGAAGCTGCTGGAGTCTTTCAGAACAGACACTCAACAGCTATCTTTGACAGTAAAGTATACCCCCCCCCTTGGCAAAAATAGAGATTACACAGACCCCAGGGTTTAAAAATGACTCATTTTTTACATTTTTCCTTATTACCCTTTGTGTGGCTTGCTGTAGTACAAATTCTTACATTAAAACTCAATTAAAATAGGTCCCCTTCCCCATTTGTTCTTTCAGTACTTTCTCTCAAATTTCAAAGTAATTCATTGAGGTATTTCTTATATATTTCATCATAAAGAAAAGATGTTATTTCTGTGGTTGCACCTAATTAAATGTTATGCCCCCTCTATTTCAATCGATATATAATATGTATGCATGTACAAATGCACATGCATACAAACTGTTCTGGAGGAACTGTTTAATATCAGATAAAATAATAATGTATATTTTTTCATGTACAAAGATATCCTAGGTGATCACACAGGTACCCAATCATCAAGAGCAACCAGCCCTACTATGGGGCAAGCAGAAAAAATAAAGCGCAAACTTATGGATCTTGGGTAAGCATTTTATTGTTTAAAAACTAGTTTTTTATTAGAAGGGGTGGAAAGCTAAATTTCAAATAACATTTTTGTTGATGGCCTCTAATCTTGTTATAGGCGTCCCTCAAGAAGGAGTTCCCACAAGAGCAAGAAATGGAAAGAGAGAGAAGTCCTTAGGGTGACCCGTTGTACCAGGTATGGGTAAAACAACAAAGATGTAATCTATCTCGTGCCAAAATCTTTAGCAAAACTGTGCTGTCCACAAAGTGAAAGCAGCAACAGTCCATCTTTCCTGTGTGTAGTGCTAGAATACATTAATACCAATGGGGCCAAATTCTGCTCTTATTGGCTTTCATGAATCTCTGTTATGGCTCGTTGTTTTAAAAGAGAAACTAACATAGATGGAAAGATACTTTAACAAATAGCAAAATAATAAGTACTCAAACAAGAAAAATAAATTGAGCCACATAATGCACAAGATCTGCCTATTGTCCCATTGACAATGATGAGAATGGCATAGACAGATTATAGAATTCACACACACATACCAATATAAAATATTAGGGCTGTCAAGCGATTAAAAATTATTCATGATTAACTGTACTGTGGAACAATAAAGCAATCTATTTAAATATCTTGGATATTTTCAAATATGTTGATTTCAATTACAACACAGAATACAAAGTATAAACTGCTCACTTTATTTTATTACAAATATTTGCTCTGTAAAAAACAAAAGAAAGGTAGTTTTCAATACACCTAATACAAATACTGTTGTGCAATTTATGATGAAAGTTGAACTTACAAATGTAGAATTAGGTACGAAAAAACCTTCATTCAAATATAAAATAATGTAAAATTTTAGAAACTACAAGTCCACTCAGTACTACTACTTCTTTGTCCAATTGCTCAGATAAATAATGTGTTTATTTTTGCAGGAGATAATGCTGCACGCTTCTTGTTTACAATGTCAACAGTAAGTGAGAACAGATGTTTGCATAGCATTGTTGCAGCTAGCATTGCAAGGTATTTATGTGCTAGATGTGTTATGAATTCATATGTCTCTTCATGCTTCACTCATAATTCCATGCTGCTGACAGGTTGTTCATGATAATGATCCTGAGCAGTTTGGACAGATGTGTGTTCATTTTCATTATCTGAGTCAGATGCCATCAGCCAAACGTTCATTTTCTCTTTTGATGGTTTGGGTTGTTCAGTTTCCGCATCAGAGTGTTTGCTCCTTTATGACTTCTCAAACCATGCTCTACAGTGTATCACTCTCAGATTTTAGAAGGTGCTTCTAATTTTTAAATCTTTTAATCAAGTGCTGTAGCTATCTTTAGAAATCTCACATTGGTAATTATCATAGGAGTAGCTGTGTTAGTGTAAATCTGCAAAAGCAACAAGGAGTCCTGTGGCACCTTATAGACTAACAGATTTATTGGAGCATAAGTTTTCGTGGGCAAAGACCCACATCAAGTGGGTCTTTACCCACGAAAACTTATGCTCCAATAAATCTGTTAGTCTATAAGGTGCCACAGGACTCCTTGTTGCTTTTGCACATTGGTAATTGTTTGCCTTTTGTCAGATCTGAAATGGAAGTGTTCATAAAACAATCAATTTATGCTAGGTCTTTATCTGAGAGTGCTATAATATGAAATATATGTCAGAATTAGATAAAACAGAGCAGGAGACATACAACTCTGCCCTAAAGGGTTTAGTCACAAATTTAATTAACATTATTTTTTTAATAAGCATGAAAGCATGCCATATATAATGGTGGCTGAAGCATGAAGTGGCATATGAATACTTAACACATCTAGAATGTAAATACTTTGCATTGTCAGCTACAAAATTGCCAAGGTGTCATTGTAAACAAGAAGCAAGAAGCATTATCTCCAGTAAAGGTAAACAAATATGATTGCCTTAGTGACTGGGGAGTCATTTTTTGGGGAGGAACATTAGTTCGAACCAAGGAGTTTGATTCGAACGAATGCGGCGTGGAGTGCACTTTCACTTTTGAATCATCTGGCGTTTGGAATAGTGCGCGGCCAAGATTATGCTAATGAAGTGCGGGATATTTAAATCCCGGCTCCATTGACTATTTCGAATGCCTGCATTTGCATCCCTAGTTTGAACTAGGGTGCAAGTGTAGACATACCCTGGCTGAACAAGAAGTAGGACTGAGTAGATTTGTAGGTTCTAAAGTTTTGCATTGTTTTGTTTTGAGTGCAGTTATGTAACTAAACAATCTACATTTGTAAGTTACACTTTCACAATACACAAATTGCACTATTGTATGAGGTGAGTTAAAAATATTTTATCATTTTACAGTGCAAGCATTAGTAATAAAAATAATAATATAAAGTGAGCACTGTCCACTTTAATAGAAATCAATATATTTGAAAATGTAGAAAAATATCCAAAAATATGTAATGCATTTCAATTGGAATTCTATTGTTAGTGTGATTAAAGATGCAATTAATTGTGATTGTGATTATTTTTTAGTTGTATGGGTTTAAGTGATTAATTGACAGCCCTATAAAATATATGTGAGGGCCTTTATCCTAAACGCATGATTCATATATCACCCAACACAGAAAGTCTCAGAAGGGTAGCCATGTTAGTCTGTAACTGAAAAAAAACTTAAAAAACAACAAATGATCCTGCAGCATCATAGGGTATGTCTACACTACCACCCTAGTTCGAACTAGGGTGGTTAATGTAGGCAATCGAAGTTGCAAATGAAGCCCGGGATTTAAATATCCCGGGCTTCATTTGCATCTTGCCGGGCGCTACCATTTTTAAAGCCCTGGTAGTTTGGACTCCGTGCCCGCGGCTACACATGGCACGGAGTAGGTAGTTTGAATTAGGCTTTCTAATCGGTGGTGTAATTGGTGGTGTAACAGTAGTTCGAATTAGAAAGCCTAATTCGAACTACCTACTCCGTGCCGCGTGTAGCCGCGGGCACGGAGTCCGAACTACCGGGGCTTTAAAAATGGCAGCGTCCGGCAAGATGCAAATGAAGCCCGGGATATTTAAATCCCGAGCTTCATTTGCAACTTCGATTGCCTACATTAACCACCCTAGTTCTAACTAGGGTGGTAGTGTAGACATACCCTTAGAGACTAACAAAAAAAATGTAGATAGGATCATGAGCTTTCGTGGGCAGGGTTGTGCCCACAAAAGCTCATGATACCAACTCAGAAAAGCAGTCTTTGATGGGATAGAGGTCAGCAGACCTTAAATATATTTTCGCAGCAGCAGCTTGTTTCAGAAAGTGAACAGCTTCATAACAATTTGAAGATACATAGGAAAATTATAGATTAGAATTTGGCCACATCATCTCATGTAGAGTGATGTTAATTGCTTAACAGCAACATCTTCAGTCCCTCTGTTCACTCAAACACAAAAATCCAGAATTAGCAATACCACACCTCTTTCCCACAGTACATATAGTGAACTTTGCTTGAAGATCTCCTGTGCAAGTAAGTACTAGGGGGCTCTGACCAGATCTCATACATCTCCACTTATCAGAGGATTAAAGTTCTGGCAATCAATCTTCCAGGGTTTGATTTAGCTGCTAAAGACCTGCTGAATTGAACACTGAGGACACCCCATTGGCACTCCTTGCTGACTGCCCTGTACTTGGATATGGTACGGTCAATAATAAATAACACTCAGATACTATTTAGTTCTCATCAGCCTCCAGCTTGCTTGGTAGTCAGGTTCTCTGTGCCTCAGTTTCTCTATCTGTAAAATGTGTGCAGTGCTTCCAACTTCACTGAGCTACTGAGTTAGTAGGTAAATGGTGGTAAATCCATTTGAAAGCTTGAAGTGAAAAGCATTACTTACCCTTCTTAAAAATACTACAGCATGCTATTATTTTGGGATGTCAAGAAATTGAATTTTTAAAAGAAATATAGCTCTAGGTTCTGTATAATCATTTTAAATACATCCAAATTTCATTAGAGCAAATAAATGTCTCCACACAACAAAATATACTTTTCTCCACGAGCCTGCTCTGAAACCCAAATGAGCCCATGTTGATCTAGATTGCATTATTCTGGTAACCAATACAAATTATATGTATGCATGAGAAGACAAGCCTTTTGAAACGTCACAGCCTTTGGAATATACCCACCATATATTGATAAAAGCATAAGAAAGATGGAGGGCTAACATTCTACTCTGATGTCACTATAAAGATAAAAGGAAATTTATTAATACCCGATTTACACTATGCACAGGGCGCTGGAACAATTTGTGTAGTTAGGGTGCTGATTGCCATTGAACCAAAACGTAAACCCTCTATGTAATAGAAACCACTTAAGCCTTGGTTCCAGCATCTGCTGCTGCAGCTAAACACAGAATTTTGCTGCGAGATCCAGGGGCAGAATTAAATGCCTGTATTTTAAATAGGGATGTTAGCAACTACCTGGATAACCATTTAACTAATAAGCGATTGGTTAACTACAACAGCTCCCTTCCCCTGCATGTTCTGCATTTAAAACTCGGACAGCAGGCTGGCTCAGTCCCAGTCCACCGGTCCAAGTTGTAAATGAAGAGCACACAGAGGAGTTGCCTGCCACCCCTCACTGCTGCCTCTAGTAGAGAGGCAGCACTGTGAGGTGGCAGGCGGGATCCAGTCCATGCAGGGAGCTGGTTTAAAAACAAAGGCTGCAGGGTGGGGCAGCAGCAGCTCCAGTCTGTGTGGGGTCTGAGCTCCCAACAGAGGGTGCTCCAGCATCCCACAGAGCAGTCTCGGTCACAAGGAAAGAAAGCTCAGGGTCTCCCACATACAGGGGCTGCTGCCACTTTATGCTGCTGCCTCTGTATCAGAGACAACAGCGCGGGGCAGCAGGCAGGAGCCGGTTTGTACGGGCAGCCAATGCGAATAAGCAATTATTAGACTGGCTCCCCTCATGGACGGGCTCTTGCCTGCCACCCTACACTGCTGCCTCTGATGCTGCTATATCAGAGGCAGCAGCACAGGATGGCAGGAGGCTCCCCAGGAGTGAAACCAGAAGTGCCCTGGCTGCTGGCCCCATCCCCAGGGGGCATTGAATAATCATGTTACCACTAAAAATTTGTTGTAGTTAGACGGTTATTAAAATTGAATACAATTATTTATCTAAGATTATTAAAATAATATAAATTTCTGACATCTCTAATTTTAAAGCAGTAGAACTATTCAACACTGAAACAGGCTATCATAAATCATGCTCAAAAGGTATCTCAAATTATAAGCAAAATTCATAGGCTTCAGTCGCTGGCAGTTCCAGTGATTCTGGAATGTAAAGTCTTTGGGGCAAGGGCCCAGACAGTGTAGCTGTCCATAAAGCACTTAACACGGTTTGACACAATAGAGGTAATAATTTAAGCTGTTTGTTTTATAACTGTTAGCTTTTCCTTGCTTACGACATTCAATTCATTCTATTTTTGTTGTAACAAAGGTAGGCTGATCATTTGATCAGGGTTGCCTAAAAGACTTAATATAGAAAAGCCTTTAAGATTTATGTCAGGATGCTGATATTACTTATAAAGAACTTGGAATTCAGAAACTCCCCTTGTCTCCCTTTATTTAATGGTACGTTTTCAGCCTGCCATTACCTACAAGTTATTTTAAGGTTCAACCATGTTTTTAGAAATAAGTACTCTTTTTGTAATTCTTTTATTTTAAACTATTATTAGTTTGTTTTTTTAGTTTTACAATCTAATACGGGTCCGGGCCTTTCTTTAAACAGGACCACTAAAGAGATGCTGGAGAGTTCAGCAACTAATGCATCTGTGTCAGAGCAATCCTCCTCTCTTCCCCATGGCATAACCTTCCCATGGTATGGAGAGAATGGCAGGGGATCCAACTCCTCCAGCAACATTCCTTCATCTACCAGCTCAACTGAACCATCCTCTGAAAACCTAAGTCCATCTAAAAAAGGGTCCAAGGTAGAAAACAAATGCTACCTTATTCCCAGTATGTAGGAAACTCAATGCTTCGGGATAAATAAAGACCAATGTGGTAATACTGCAATAAACAATGCATGGTGTTCATTGTACAGTAAAAACACATCAAAAAAGCATATTTTAACATTCGAGATTGTATACCTGTTTATTCTGTCACTCTTGATGTATGTGACTAGTCAGATAGGTATGATGTACTGCACCATACCAAATGGCACCAGTGGAACCTAGCATTTTTATCCATGGAACAAATGCTAGATTTGTGTATTAAATGTAAAGTATTGTACTGCATTTTTCAGGACTGATTGTCGAGGGGAGGGAATGTCTAACTCTGTTTAACCACTCAAAGTGCTTGCAAACTAAGAAATGTTGATAATGTACACTGTTTGCAGTATTGCTGTAGCCATGTTGGTTCCAGGATATTAGAGAGACAAGGTGGGTGACATAATATCTTTCATTGGTTCTCTTCTGTTGGTGGAAGAGATCACTTTTGAACTTCACTGTCAGTTATTTACCTTTTTTTCCACATAGCAAATCTATCTGTTGCACATGTTGGATATGAGATTGAATTTCATTTTTGAAGATATTTGAACTAAAAAATGAATTCTTTAAAATATTTATGTGAATTTCCTTTCTATGTGCATTAAAGCTTTCAGCATGATAGCCCTAGAGTTTAATGTATGTAACTTCCTGTGTTGTTTAATTTGTTTTCATCTGTGGGAAATATTTCTCCAGTGGAATATACCTTGTTATAGCCTGTGCTCGTCACTATATTGGGCTGGAAAGGAAACTGAAGTGGTTCTGACCCTCCTTTTCAGGAGAGTGACTCCAAGTACTATTAATTTTTGAAGTTATCTAGGGCATTTGCCATTCATTAGGACCTACACAAGATCATAGAACTCTGACTGGAAACAAAAGCTTACCATTATGTGGAGCGAAAGACAAGATTATCTGATTTGGACTGAGCAATGATAGAGCACATAAAGGCAACACTGTGGGAGACGGGCAGATTTTCAAAGGGACAAAGAGCAGTTGGGTATTCCCAACTTTCATATGATGTTACTATCACTCTAGTTCTTCAAAAGGCCCTTCGGCAGAAAAAAAGAAGATGAAGATTTGGTATTCTTCATATTTTAAAAAGAGTTAGTTCAAAAACCTGTGGGGTTTTGGTTTTTGTTTATTGTCAAAACTTCAAAACTGACTTATACTTTTGACATTATTGTACATTCATCTCTGGATTTGAACACCAAGGTTGTGGAGTCTGGATCTGTTTGTTTTTTATTGAACTTTAGGCGCCCTAGGAATTCCTTAATGTTTGTTGTTGTTTTGAAATTGAACTATTTTCCAAACTCTAATGCAGATCTGTTGCTGATTGTAGTATTCCCCAGTGGTGATTTTGACGACTTTCTAGAAATATATATGAATCACAGATTTATATTTTGCTTACCCTTGCTATAAAGTATAATGCTTGTCATTTCATTTTTTAAAGAGAAGATTTTTTTTTCTGGTTATGGTTGCTGTAAATAGCAGCACCTAATGTCAGAAGGCCTCCTTTACTTTATGTCTTACCTGAAGGGTTCAGCAAAGAGGAAAGAAACTCAATTCTCAAAGAGTTTATTTAGGAACCAATCTAAAATGGATTCACAGGATGATTTCCTTGCCTTTTCTATAGTGACTTTCATTTCTCCCTCATAAGCCACCCTCTCTCCTACCCATTGCATAACTGCATGTGCTGTTTGTCCTAAATGTGTAGAGAGCAGGCATCCTGGAAGGCTGCACATGGTATTGATCAGCCATGAGAAGCAGTGAAGTTGGCCATCTCCAAAGGTGGCAGGGAGTGTCATCTCTCTAAATGGAAGCCTGGAAATTGCTCTCAGACATCTTTGTTACTAAGACACTAACCTGACAAAAATGTCTCTAACACATGCCACAGTAATAATATGTTATTTGCACTATTTTTATAGCTGTGTTGGTCTCTCTAATACCACAGTAATAGATGTATTACGTATTATTTCAGCAATCATTAACAGTAATAAAGATTGGGAGTCCTTGTAATAATTGGTTCAATAAATTATTCAAATCACTCCTGAACTATGCCAGCCTGGAAAGGAAAAGCAAGTCTCCTACAAAATGTGAATGTAAGGTCTTATTTTAACTATGACCCACCTTTTTGTCTACAGAATTTCACATTCAATGATGACTTCAGTCCCAGCAGCACAAGTTCAGCTGATTTGAGTGGTTTAGGAGCAGAACAGAAAACCCCTGGTTTCTCACATTCCTTAGTGTTGTCATCAGATGAGGTATGTCAAAGTCATTTTTTACAATGGACAAGAGTTAATTTATTTCTCCAGTAGGGTTTTTTCCAAGAAGTATTCAAATTATATTTATTTTCTAGAGCACATCATTGGAAAAGAAGAATTTTATTACAGTATTTCTCTCAGTTCAGTATATATAGGGAATAAAATAGGGAAATAACAAAATAAGATTGGCTTCCTAAAACATGCTGCGGCCAAACCCATCATTTCATTTCTGTGTATTTTTCTTATTCTTACATATTAGTACATGCATGTGGACCAATGTACACAGTTTGTTAATGTCATATAACTGGGATGCCTTTGAGGGAATATGGAGGGTAGGCCCACTAAGTTGTCATAGTATGTTATTGTTACACCAGCTAGTGAAGATGTTTATATCGAATTTTAAAGATTAACCTGCAAAGATGCATCGATCCAAACTCTCTGTGCATGCTGTGTAAAAAAACCCACCTATCTGTGTAGTTTTTGCACACTAATACACATATCTATAATATGTAAACTTTATATCATGAAAATTTCATTTACATTCAATTTGTGCTTGATTTGTGCATACACCGTTGAGCCGACTTACATTCTGTGCTGTGTTTTGATCAGGGATTGTCTTATTTTGTTTCTTTGCACAAGTGTTAGTGTGAAAAACTTGTGCCCTTTGGATTGGGTGCCAGAAATACATGTCACAGACAAGCTATGTTTTGAAAATTGGGTTCTTAAAAACAAGTTTGGTAAAGTCAGTTGGCCAGCTCTAATGTGGAGCTGCAGTTATTTACATTAGCTCAGGATCTGGGCTGCTGATTCACTAAGCATAAAATCATGCTTAGGCCACAAGTGAACCCAGATGATGTGCAAAATGAATATATTTTCTTTTATATAAACACAGATGCTGTCATCCACTCTAAATGTTATGGTGAACTCCATATTTTCTTGTGTGAGATACCTGCCAGGATTTGCTCTAGAGAGTTTAGAGCACTTACGTCTGTTGTTACTGATATATGATATTATATCATTGCATGTAAATATTATTAATAATTTATAATAATTTGTGTTGCATATGAATATTAATGCCTGCTCTGCATGTGTTTAAAGGACTATTATAGATACAGTTGTCAAAATTTTAGGCTACAAAACTAAAAATCCCTATAGACAATACTTACGATGGTAGGAATATAGCTGCTGCAAAAGGAGTAGATGTTTACTATGCTCATAAGAGTACTGACCAAGGGCCATGGGTAAATGTCTGTACTAGTAAGAATAGCAAAATGCAAAGATCTAATCATTTAGACTCATTCATTCTACATGATCTTTCTAGTTTAACAGTACATTTCACTAAAACCTAATTAAAATATTTTGCTCTTATTATTTCATATAATTCTTATTATGCTATGTATTTTATTGTGATAATATTCTGTATCTGGTATGCCGAATGGTAAGTTAGAAAATGCTTCCATTTTTCTTTCTAAACTCTCTTTGCTGTTTCTGCAATATCTAATATGAACAGGTCTATAAAAATAAAATAAAATTGACCTCTCTTGTCCTCTGCTGCATACTAAATAGCAGCTTCCAAATGTGTCAGCATGTCCTGTGAGTGCCACTGAAGACACCTTTCCAGCTGCTTAGATAGGTCATTGGCCATTCACTAATAACTGCTACAGATCTGGGGTTATTAGTGATGCCGCCAAGAATTGCTTCTATATACCTCTCTGGTGGAAATGACATACCCACAAAAGTATAAGCAAAGGGAGGGTGGAAAACCCATTTTTATTCTACTTTATACCCCAGAAATTAAATTTTTTGTTTCCATTGAAGTCATTGGCAAAGCTCCCATTGACCAAGGATGCAGGATCTGGAATCCCATGGACAGGCACTAACTATTTTGTGTTTTGTAGTTAAGTGTTTTGCACAGCCTTACTAAGTTTGGAAATTGTTTTACAAGTGCTCTGGTTTTCAATAACCAAACCTGTTTGCAAATTGTGTTGCTGCCCTTGCCTGAACGCTCTCGCATGCTGTTACATGTTCTGTATTTTGTTACTATAATGCTTTTCTTTCCCATTTCTTTGTTGCGCCCTCACTCAGAGCCTGGATATGATTGATGATGAGGTGAGATACTAGTGAGCTCTTTGTGGTGGACTGTGTGACTGTGGCGTGACAACTTGTTGTCTCATTTGCAGATTTGCATTTCTGAACTTATTCTGTTGTGCGACAATTTTCCCTGTTAACCATAAACACCCCCGCACAGGTGTCACCTTTCCTGCCACAGTTTTGTGGCTCATATCAAAATAGAGTCCTTTTGGTTTGTTGAGGTGTCTTGTGGGAGCTACATTCCAGAACAAAGACACTGGACTGAATCCTCTTCTGTGCCGAGCTCTGCTCATGCTTGGTACAAAGTAGGCAGACGTTTAGGATGTATGCCACCTTTCCCCATCCCTGATCCAGGAGCTGGCTGACTGAAGACCCTTCCCCCCATGCAATTTAAACATCCCAAACTACGCCATCTGCAGCCGTTCCATAGCAACTGCTTCACTGACCAAGGATGGATGAAGCATCGTGTTCCAGCTCAACACCAGCATGCCCCCATGTGGAACTAGGGGAGAACAGATGACACTGAGCTGGCTGTGCCAACTTTACATCCCCCAAGAATCCCCTGCTGTCTCCTCTAGCATAACATTCGTGCTGTTTCCTTCACACAGCACAGAGCAGCCAGATCAGGGGCCGAGAATGTGGCTCATTGTCTGTTCTGTATTGTTACTGTGTGTCTTCTTGTAGTCTTCCTAGACAATCACTTCATCTAGTTGTTATCATCATCTTGAATGTTGGGGGAGTTTTCTTGGGAATGTTTTGAATTTCATATTTTAAACCTTCCAAACCTCATATAATGCACCTTTAAGGTGGTACACAGCATTCCAGTATGTCCTTTAAAACCATTCTGTCAAAAAATATGTTAAAAGATTAAAACCTGGAGAGGGAATGGGAATCTTCCCATAGTGAATTGTGCCACCTGGCCATACTAAGCCATTGTCTGTGACTTCCTCTTCTTGTGCCTGTACACAGAAAAATAGAATTACCAAGGGATTTCTATTACAGTATGTAGATATGCAGATAGATACTGTTGTAATATATTGGTGTATCATTACTGAAGTGTTATATAATGGTAGTACAAATGCCTCTACTGCGGTGGTGCAGATATATGCTGCAATATGTCATTGCTAGTCAGTTTTGCACTTCTAATTATATTGCATCATATTTTTGTCACAGATCCTTGATGATGGACAGTCTCCTAAACACAGTCAGTGTCAGAATCGTGCTGTTCAGGAATGGAGCATACAGCAGGTTTCCCACTGGTTAATGAGCCTCAACTTTGAACAGTATGTTTCTGAATTCACCGCCCAAAACATTAATGGAGAGCATCTCCTTCAGCTGGATGGGAGCAAACTTAAGGTAATGGACTGTGTTGGAGATAAACTTTGTATGTTATTTATTGTCACTGGAGAAAAAGAGACTTCCTTAGAATTACAAAAAGAACTGTGTTATGGAACTAAGACAGAATATACTAATAGACATGGTGCAGATGCTCAGAGACTTACCAGAATCGTTAGACCCAGATTTTTAAGAAATTGAGGCCCATTTTCTTTGCAAAAAAGGTGAGTGTTCAGCGTATCCATATTTGTACGTCCAAATTAGATATGTTACATGCATAAGTGGTATCTGGATGTACATATTTCGCATCCAACTCTATTTTGTAAAAGTGTGAGGCATGCAGGATTGTAAATAACTGCACGCGAGAAGTAGAGGTAAAACCTCAGTAGACTTGGCAAAATTCAATTTTAATTTTTTTATAATATCAGTAAATAATATCTGTGTTTGTCAATTTTTTTTCAGTTTGCATTGATTTAAATTTTCACAGTTGTAGGAAATTATGGGTGGGCAGGTCAGACAGGGCTCATGTAGACAGCTACCCTACATCTTTTAAACATGCCTGTTATTTCAAAATACTTTTTAAAATAATAGGTGTGCTGTTTCAGCTCCCTGTTCCACGAGGGTTAAGGGGTATGTTGAAATAGCATTTTATTTAGAAATTTGGTGCTGTGTAGAAGCACCAAATTTTGAAATAAGCTATTTTGAAATACAATCAAAATAAGATACGCAATTTGTATAGTGCAAATTGCGTATCTTATTTCGAGTTTAGGGTGCTGTGTAGACGCACCCACAATAATTATTTAATGAGAGTTATCTATTCTAGTTAAAGAAATTAGAGCTCTATAACAGTTAAAGCACAAATTGTTAACATGTCAAAATATACAAAATAAATATCCTTAAATCAACTTCTAGTAAGTTCTCAAGCAGCATTTTTCTCATTTTGCCTATCTGTTCATTTCTGTTGTCACCAATGGAAATATTTTTATTGCATGTAACTATAGTGAAATCAACATTTACTGACATTTAGCAATACAAAAAATATAATCCTTCAATCCTGAATATTGGACTGCTGATGAAGAAGAGAGTGCCTTGTACAGCTTTGCCTTTTCTTATCTGTCCATTTATATGTTTAATAATCATCCTCTTCCTGTCATACATTTCTCTATCATACATATTAGGGAAGGGGGTTGACAGTGGATAGTGTATTAAAACTAGATATAGTTTAAAAGTTTTGATATATAAAATGTGCATTAATTTGTTGCGATGAAATCGTGAGCATATTGCTAATGAAATAAATAAAAAGTGGAGTTATATAGGGGCTCAGCATCTATGAAATCTGTGAAATTCAAACCCTTAGTGACTCAGCTGGGCACACAAAATTTATCGACTCTTTGAAAATTTGTGTTTTAACCTTTCTATATCTCCAGGATTTTTTATGGGGAAAAGAATGGTCTTATGGCAAAAGCAAAGACTTGGACTAAGGAAACAGAGGGTCTTATTCCTAGCTTTGCCACACACTTCTATGATTCTGTGTAAATCATTTAACCTCCCTGTGCTTCTCTTTCCCAGTTTATCAAAATCTTTAATATTCTCTATAGTGTTTTGATTTCCTCATATGGAAGGCATCATATAATAGAAGTTTATTACACCAAAATAGTAATACTTTGCCCTTCTGTTTCCTACCTGACTTTGTCTCAAGGTTTGTTCAGTTTTGACAGTCTTCAAATTTAGTTATTATTATAAATTTACATAATTTGGTCATAAATGAAACAATGTGGGATTTTTTTTTAATTCTCTTATTCTGTTGCTTTCTTTAATAACAGGCCCTTGGTATGACATCTTCTCAGGACAGAGCAATCATTAAAAAAAAACTAAAGGAAATGAAACTATCCATAGAGAAAGCTCGAAAAGCTCAAGAAAAAATGGAAAAGCAAAGGGAAAAGCTTAGGAAAAAAGAACAAGAGAGACTTCAGAGGAAGTCAAAGAAACTAGACAAGTTTTCATCAGATGCAACAGAGGGCGCTAATGAGCAATGATGAGATGAGAATTACTACGTTGGTTTAATGTGGAGACACTTCAGGCAAAGAAACTTAAGTTGTCTACAGAACTCCTCTCTTTTTCTTGTAATCGTTACCCAGGAATATGTACACAAATATGATGCCATAGAGTGAATAGGGAAGTTGATATTGTGTGGCTTCATTTTCCTGCAGTTACAAAACATGCTCTTATTTTTTGATGAGATGAGAATTACTACGTTGGTTTAATGTGGAGACACTTCAGGCAAAGAAACTTAAGTTGTCTACAGAACTCCTCTCTTTTTCTTGTAATCGTTACCCAGGAATATGTACACAAATATGATGCCATAGAGTGAATAGGGAAGTTGATATTGTGTGGCTTCATTTTCCTGCAGTTACAAAACATGCTCTTATTTTTGGACCTTTTAAAAAATCCAAACCATTATTTTATTTTATTTGTTGATGTAGATTGCAAGCCAGGTATCCTATTTTGGAGAAACATTGAAGGGTTTTCTTTTCAAGCCACTGTTTTGTATTGGGCTAATTGTGTTTGGTCACATTGGTAATCAATGTGACAAAGAGGGAAGTGGTCCATTTTGAATGGGTTCCTTGGTTGTCAATTGCAATGATCGATGGAGATGTATGAATTTGGGTAACTGGAGTTATTCTCACATCTGTTACCATTGACTCATCTTTCTAACTGGAATCTCAACTTTACACAGCTCTGATAGTTAGTTCTGTCTGCTGGATACAGCTACAACTTGCATCTGTACCTTGAAATGACAATGTTTTGCAAACAATTGTTCAGTTACTCTTCATTATGTTCTGGAGATAAGGACAGGAGAGTAACTACCCTTTCTGGGCAAAAGGAGGGAGGTTGGCACTGTTGTGAACTATACATTAATTAGCCAAGAAGGAGGCAAAGCCAGTTTACAAGAGGTTTTGAGAGTAACATTTATTGTACTGCCTTCTGGTGCAAGGCTGACTTTCTAACCTTGGCACAGCAGGTAGATCTTATAGTACATTGGTCACTGGGCTTCTGGAGTGTACAGATAAACTTTCCTGTAGCACACTATGAGCTTTCTTTTCCAACAGATTCTGAAAAGAAAACTGGGTGTTTTTGTGGGGGTTAAGGAAAATACTACTTCTCCAGATTCCATCTCCACTGTGTGCTGAGGCCAGTGTGCTTTGTGGTCTGCCCTGTAGAGCTGTGATCTAATCACAACCTCTGTCTGCTGAAATGATCTCCAAATTTGAGTCTATTAAATGCTTTCAGTTTTTAAAAAATGCTGCTCAAAGAAAAACAAGATTCACTTATATTAAGACCAACTAATATAGGTTACAATACAGAAGAAGACTATTCAATGCAAAGCTGTTGTGCAGAATCTGTTTTTAACAGAGTGTACTGTGGGCACCCCCACTCAAAATTCAGCCTTCCGCTTTGCAGAATGTTTGGAATGTTTAAAATTGGTTGTCAGCTGCATATTTCTGAGATTTCTTGTATACAGAAATGTCTATTAACGAAGCAAACAGTACAGTCTGGCACTGTGTGGTATTACAGTCTCTTAGCAGTCTCTATTCAAATCTTCATTATTTCGCTGAATGAATGGGGGAACAACGAGCAAGCTTACATAATGGGAAGATGAAGATATTGCATTATGGCTTTGTAGTAAGTGCTTACTATGTAGTAGCATTTATAGGTTATAGCAACATCCGTTCTCTTTAATGCATTCCATGGGTATTGATGTAAGTAGTAATCTGAATAGTCAGTCAGTCATGCAGCAGTTAGCTCTTATTTAGTTAGCTGTTGATGCAAAAAATGATTTTAAAGGGATTTATTTTCGTGTCAAATCCTTGACATTTTCCTTTTTATTATTTTAACTTCTTCTGAAACTCAGAATTCTGGAATGTCTTAACTGGGATGTTATGTTCATTTGTCAAATTTTCATTTGATTTTAATATTTTTACCTGTTGAAAGCTCTGTAAATAGATGCAACTTAAATCACTCAGTTCAAATAATCTGACAAATCTACTTAGCAATGACTTCCTTTTTGTTTCCATATCTACTTTCTACATGTTTCTGGCATATATTTCATTGATCTATATTGAAATTGCTGTGAAGGACACTGTATTAAACAATGTTGGTATTTCTGGTGAGTCTTTGCATTTCCTAGTGTGGCCACAGAGGCCATTAGTGGAGAAATATAACTGTGAGGAGAAATCACTTCTTCAGCTGAATCTTTCTATCTTCCTTATAGGAGACAAATTATGCTATAGTGTCATCACAACCTGGTGATACTAGCACGAGGTTATGAAGTTATATTTAGATAAGTGAAAGTTATCTGAAAGAAACTGGAAATAGGCTATTTTAAATACAATGTTGATAAATGCACTGGATGATCATTTTCTTCTTATGTTATGTTTACATGATGGTAATGTTTTAAGTGGTTGTATATAATAGACTGTAGGCACATTCCTATTTATGTTCCTTATCTTTTTAAAAGCCCAAGGCAGACTGCTGTGTGTTTATGTATTGATTTTTCATTCTTGCTGTTTAGAACAGTGTCTAATTAACCTTGTGAATCAGGTTCTTATTTTGCAGATATCTAATTTTATTTGTGTGCTAGTAATTATTGATTTTACTGTTTTATAGAAACTTTAGAGTTAAATGGTGAATTTAAACTTGTAATTATTTCAGTTTAAAATCTAACTTTAAAAGAGATTTAATTAGTTAAAAAAGCATAAAATGCAAAGTAACTAATGAAAACAAAGTGGACCAAGCAGTATGAATTCTTCTCTTCCTTCTATGATAAGATATATTTTAAAGATTCTTTTTTATTAAAGGTAGTCATTAATGTATGGCATTAATGTATGCTTACAATCAATATCACAATCACAGTGTTCGTGACCAATACCATTTGAGTTATTATCTCTATAAGACCATAAAAGGTTGGTCACAATTTTTGTTCACATATTGAGAAAAGGTATGAATGTGCCCATTACATATCTAATTCAAAACTCAGAATGCCTTTAACCACCCACTGTAAGCTCCCCTAAGAACAATTCTGCTCTAGAATAGTGTATTACTTCTATCATATCATAAGAAGGAACAGAATGAACCAATGTCCTGTATGGAATGAAGAGAGGACTAGTCTGCTCCCAGCCCATCTGGCAGGGTATCTTCCATAAATGTGACACAATTACTTTTATGGCTCCCTGATCCCTGGGCTGCCACTTAGCCATCCCAATTAGTAAGATAGAGCAGTCTCAGGTATTCTGTAAGGTGTGCCAGCTTCTTTGGGGCTATTCTGCAGCCAAGTGTCCCTGGAGCATATCAGCACTCTGACCATACCCTCACTAAGCCAGCCAGCCTGTGCCACTCTAGCCGTTAGTTATTCTCCTGTGCTGGCGCACTCGCAGGTTAGTTCACATACACCCTCTTTTGTTGTGGTAGGTGAGTTCTGGAAGCTTTGGATCTGTTAATAGCAGTAGGTTTGGTAACCCAAATCTGTGTGTTTATGCATCTAGCTATCAAGGCTGTGAAAGAGTGAATGAAGGAGGCAGTGTGTGGGATTTTTAAGATTAGGAAATAGAAGATGCAAAGGTGCTCTCATAGCCTTAGCCCCAGAAAAGCTAGTGCCTGCACTGAGATCCAGTGGTAGAGTTGAAACCCTTCTGGAGCAAAAGGGCAGAGTTTTTTTGTACAAACTGCCAAATACGTATGGGTCTCATTCCCTATTGCCTTGCCCCTTCTGGAACCATTTGCATGTGGGCAAGTGAGTGCCAAAAGCTGTCATTCTAATCAGGTGGTGTTAGACACCCATCTTGTACCAGTGTAAATGATTACACCAAGTGCAAAGCAATGAGGAATTCAGCCCATTTAACACTGCATAATACAGATTGTTATCCACCAGATTTTGCATTTCATCTGCCTGCCTAAGCAGAACTAATGATGTTCATGTACATAAATCACATCAAGTAAAACTAAATAATGGGACAAAACCAAAAAGCCATACAGAGCTGGGCTATGTTTATATACCAGCTTGTGTGGGTGCTTTTATACTAGTAACCATTTATTGTGCCACGATGGAGACTAAGACTCTGCTGCATTTCTACACAAGTGTTCAGAGGATCTAGAGCAGCATTTTCCAGAAGCCACATCAGTCCTCAACTCCCAGTGATGGTAGAAGGAATTGAGGCTGCTTATCATCTGGGCAACCTCAGGTCTGAGCCCTGCCACTGTGTGTACACATGCCTGCTACCAGCTAGGTAATTGTGTGAGACAGGCAACCAGAGGTAATGGTGCTCTCCTGGGAAGATCTTTGGCAGGAGTACAGATTGTGTTCCTGTAGAAATCAAAGGCAGAAATTTCATTTTGCATATGTGTGATTTGGACATGCTGTTCTAATCTAATAACCTGTGCTATGAACCAGAAAATCAGAAAGTTTTGTATTTGCATAGCTGTATTTCTTTAAAAAGTATCTTAGAGTGATTGTACAGGGTGCCAGATCTGGGATTTAAGGAAAATTTTCAGAACCAAGATTTGTATGTTAATTCCTTAGCAGTGTGTTCAAATGGATAGAAAAATTGTTGCGACTCAGAAAGGGAGGCAACTATAATGTTGTTCTGGGACCTGATCCTGTCTCCATTGGAGTTTTTCTCATTAATTTGGGGAGGCAGAAGGAGGATTGGACCTCTTAATAGCACTTGCTTAGTTCTGTGCTATGCCTCGAGGAGAAAGCGGGCAAACTTGTTTATAGCTATTATTCTGTAAGCTTTGAAATCTCAGAACATCTTTGAAAAATAGATGTTTGAAAAAGATAGCATGTATTTGAGCAACCTGGAAGTCTTATCAGTTTGAATGAAAGGGGCAAAGTGCACAGAGATTTCTTTTTAGTCAGTGATTTAGAATATTAAAATAAATCTACATTTCTAGAAATGAAAATGATGGAGTTTGTGGTTTGCTTTTTAACATACTTATGCATTTGTGTGTGGACATAAAAATGCACACAAAATATACACACTGTATTGAAGCAATTAATAGCAGGGAATGCATACATAACTGAGATGTAGGGCTACACATGCATAAAACACACATCAAAAGTTCTGATAACATGATGAAACTAAGGAGAGCAATGCTCCAGCAATTTGTAGCAGCTGTATAACTCAGATGTGTTTCCAGCCTCTCTCTGTTTCCATGTTATGTTTTATATACTGGATCACAAAATTTTTAACAAAAACATGTATTCAAGTCATATACAGACTATTCCTCTGTACATCTCTCTGCATGTTGTCCTTGTGGTCGATGGGATTGAACTAGTATTATGAGAGAGAAACTTTTTGTACATTTTGTAAACTTAGCTTTGATGTCTAACGGAAAGCTTTGAGCAGTTGATTATTGGGCAGGATTGTGATGTCAGAAGTGACTCATCCAATCATCACACAGTTAAGCTATAAATTGTGCATGTTGCACAGTCATTTTCAGCAAAGCTTGTATATGTTTTATTGCAGTTTCTCCAATTTATAAACTGTCCTATTTGAAAGCTGTGATATAGTCCTAAAACTGGCCTTCTTTCACTGTCTGGCACTGCAACAGACTTTTTATTTTTTTATAGCCAGTAAATGATGACAAAGGATGTGTATATCCTTAGGAGGCTTTGCCTTTAGCTCTGTGCTGCTTGTTTTTCAGAAGTTTGGACTCTTAGACACACATCTACTAGTTTTTCAAGCCTAATTCTGTGTGATGTTAAGGGCCCTTCAGCACTTCTGACTTTGGAAGAAGGTGCTCAGCATCTTACAGGATCAAAAGCCAAATCCAGTTGATATTCTTCTCGGTGTGAGTTTTGCCATTGACCCAGAATGAGAGCAGACTTAAGTGTAAATGCAGGAAGACTCACAAAACTGATGAAGTGTCTAGAAGAAAAAAAATGACATGGATCGAAAGACAATAAGGAACAAACAATCCTCAAATGTAGATGACTTGGTGCACAGTGAATCTCCCCAAAATATATTTGCTTTCCCTGACTTTTACTGTCATAACTACTGCTTTTGTATTTTTCAGTGGTGATGTATTTATAAAATGACAAGTGTTATACTTATTGCTAAAAGACCGGGCAGCTAAGAACAGAAATGCACTGTGCTCCACTGTAAAAACTGGCTTCTTTTATTGTTTGTTTTTAAATCTTAGAAGGGGAGAAGGTTTAAGTTTCAGAAATTTTTAAGATCAAATGTATATGAGAATTGCATGTTATCCTGGACTTTTGGTTTATACATTTTGGTGTCTAATCATCTGCATGGAAGAGACAATAGTGCCCTGTCTAACCTTGTTCTCTTGTGCTTGGTTAATATGTACTTCTCTAGATTGTTGAGTTTCCATAAACATTCCTTTACATTTGGTTATTTGGAGGCATTCAAAGCAAAGCATCATCATGGTGGCCCTTTGTTTTCTTACAGATTTAAAAATAAGCCACCTCTGATTAAAATTAATTTGTTAGCATAAATAAATTTCTTGCCAATGAGTATTATTGTTGTTAGACAACGAATGCAATAAAGAGAAATACTGAAAGTTGTTACAAGAATTTTTATTTAGTCTTCACGCACTACATTATTCAAGAATTTAAAAACTTATCTAGATTGGACGACTGCCTTATCTAGGTCTGTCTATTGCAGAATAAGATAAAGCCACACAAATTCTTAGTGCATAGTAAGTTTCCATATGGCAAGCTAGCAATCCCTCAGCTATGTCTCCCTGTAGGCAAGCCCTCCTTATGCTTCTATTGGCTTTCACTTAAATAAATGGTGCACAAAGGGTGTCATGTAGCCCATTGGGCTTCTAAGTGTGGCCTGCAAGACATTTTGTTCTGTTGCCCACGTACAGGGTTGTCAGATGCTGCTGGTTTCTGTAAGGCTTTTATTTCCCTACTGCTGTTACTAAATTGAGAGGTATGCAAAGAAGGGCATGTGACATGAGTTGCATGCTGTGTTGAAAATTGTTTCGCAATCTACCACTTGGAGTGTAGGAGGATTTTAAAAGGATGGCCTGAGTGCCCTAGCCCCCTAGGGCTCTCTAGCTGCACCAGAGCATTAGGGGCAGAGTTTTGCAGCCAGGGATGGAGTTCCCTGGTGCCACAGCCTGGGCTGGAGCTCTTGCTTCTGCCACAGTGCTAGGCTGCTGCAGAGCTCTGAGTTCAGTGGCACCCAGGAACAGGAGAACAGGGGCCAGAGCTCCCCAGCCACAGGAGGTACAACCTGTACTGCATTGAGTAGCTACAGCTATTTGTTCTCCACTCCTCTGTCTCACTTCATGACTGACTGAGTACATATACCACAGCAGTGTGTTTAATATAAAAACCATGATGGAGAGAGACAGTTGCAATTAAAATAAAACTAAGGTCAATACAAGCTTTATTTCTCTCAGGACAAGAATTAGGATACCTGACAACAATTCTGGATAATTTTACATTCATCTGAAGAAGCTTTAATCTAAAGGGCAAGTGGTAAATTAGCTCACAGTTTGTATGAGAAATTACATGCCACAATTCTTTTTTAAAAAGGTTACCAGGTTTACAATCAGATTTGACACTGTACATCAATTATTGAATTAGGAAAAGCTCTGGGATTAGAAAGGGAAGCAGTGTTTATAATGATCCACTGAGTACTGGGATGCCACAATTTCAAATAAAAAAATTCAATGTTTATATTGCTCATCAGAAACATGATACTGTGAAGATCAGTTTTGTCAGGTGCTTTCCCTTACAATAATTCTGTTTACATAGCAATTAACCACAAGACTAGAGCATACTCCAAACTCACTCTATTTGAAGAAATGTGACTATTAGTACTTTCCCCAGAAGGGCACCACTTGGCCTTTGGGAAAAGCAAGAGAGGAAGCTCTGCTTTCCTTACTGTTTGAGTGGATCAAACAAATGCAGCAGGGAGAGAAGCCCATTTGCTCCCCCTAAAATAAAGGCAAGTTAGCACAGTGTTCTCAGGGATTTGGGGTCAGGTTCATGCTGGTACTGATACAGCCCCTCAGAGCAGGTGTAATGTGTACCAGCCGTAGGCACACACCCTTCCCTCCCCAGGCTTTTCACTGCCATGAGTTAGCCCTCCCCCTCTTTCAGGAAGTCCCATGTGACCTCTGATTAGTTTGTGGGGTGGCAGCCCTAACTTGTGCTCTGGTCCCTATGAGCCCTGACAGCAGCCAACAAATAGGGCACCAGAACACCTTGCCAATGCCTCTTGCCCCCTCCCCCACAAACTGTAGCCAGGGCCCATTGATGGAAAAATGGGGCAGAACTGTCTCTGCACATGTTGATGTGACCTCTAGAGCAACCACTGAGGGCAGTAGACCCCACCTGGCCCCTGGGTGTTTCTGTAAACACACCCCATTTTCTATCTGCCCAGAGATAAAGTATAGTGAGTATAAAGTAATCCAGTGTGCCAAAATTAAAAGCTTCCTTTGTTCGAGGTCACAACAACCTAGCAGCTACAGTGCAGGAAATCTCCCATTTCATCCCCTTGGAACTCACGGGTCCCATAGCACAGTGGAGTTTCCCACTTTACACCCCTTTAGCAGCACTGACAATAGAGCCAAAGGAAAAGTGGTTCACAGCACAGGGAGGGTTTGGAGAGGACAGCGACTGACAGGAACATGGAGGCAGGGGACTAGCAGCAGGTCTCTCTGTTCCTATGCTGATAATGCATAAGGCCTTTAAGCCATGCACTACAATTCCAACTCCGAGACTGACATTTAGCTCTCAGCATTTAGAGTTTTACTAGGTCCTCCTCCCCCCACATATAGCTAGCAGTAGATTTGGTATCTAGCCAATTGGAATTTTTCACAGCTACTGTATGTGGATTTTTTACACAGAGGATTAAAAATAACCCTAGTCAGGCCACATGACAGTTACTTCCCAGTGTAGCCAGAGTATGACACCCAGGGCTTTAGGATAGGCTGTACAACTACTACTTCCTGTGGCAGTGTAATAGCGGATTTAATACAGCATCCCCCGGGCAGATCAGGGAGCTGGCACCAAGGCAATGCTACTTTCATAGTTCCAGTTGCTCCTCGTAACTGTTCTGTGCCCTCAGCATCTCTTACCCTCATCTATTCCTGAAGCAAGGGTGATAGTGGAGCGAGGAGCCCGCCCCAGCAACATAGCTCATCTGTGGCAGAAGTGTGATTCCAACACCTGAGTTCACTCTACAAGACCATCCTACCTCTTTCCTGACCCGAGAAGCCCTGGAAGAACAGTTTAGCCTAGATGAGGTGCGGTAGCATATCGGCTCTCGAAGATCGGCCCAGCCTCACAAATCATCGATTACATGGTGTGCACGGCATCATTCCAGCAAATGGCGGTTTCTCACACAGCATGGCAATTAGCAGTGTAGGAAGCACATTCAGCACTAGAGGGCAGCCCTGGGATGCACCTTTCCCCACTGTTCCCCTGCCTAGCTGTACACAGACTGCAGGCTCCAAGGCATGAGTTGGGTAAGGCATTTCAGAACTCTTCAGAAAGCTGAGATTTAACTCATTCTCTGAAGAGTTCATTTAAATCATGTATCCAATACTCTCATAGGTAGGCAAGAGCACGTGAGAACCGGTTCATGAGAAGGCAACACATGGGTTTCAGATCATTTCTGGTACCAGAGAGAAAACTGACAAGGGGTAAAAAGCACTTCCCCCTCCCAAAGCACTTAGGGTCAGCGACCCAAACCAAGACATGATTGTCACATTTCCCCGCTCCCACCACATACATTCTTTTAATCCATTCCTGTTCAGCACTGAATAGAGCTCTTATGACATTTCCTTGAGGAGAGGAAGCCTAGGGTTACATTTTTATGACATACTGTAATGTGGCTTGAAGTCAGCTATTTAGAAGAAGCTGAACCCTTCCCCTCTAACAAAGTCTATCCAGAGTGAACTACAGCTCACAGTAGAGAGCTCTGTGGAATATTGTGCCTATGAGCAATTTCCCAGAATGCACTGCAGCAACTGAGCTTCCCTGAAGAACTGAGCCATTCTCAGCATACACCTGGGTCACTGTAGGGTTTGCAGAATGAATGTTCTGGATCCGGAGCACCTGAAGAGGGAACGTTACATGCAGTCAAGAGAGACGTTGCACTACTTTTATACAAGCTGATGTTAAGAGTTCAGCACAGAATTGACTAATTTAAGCTAAATAGTTAAATTCATAAGCTAGATCATCATAATGGTCCCTTCTGGCCTTAACATCTGTATCCCTGCATAACAAGGATCATAGAATTTCAAATGACACTTGCATTAAGCTCACACTTTCTGGCTGAACTACAGCATACTATTCAGCAAGCTAGCCAGCCTTCATTTAAAGATTTCAAGGGACAGAGAATCCCAAAGTGAATTGTTCCAACAGCTACTTATCTTCATTAAAAATGTATACATAATTTGTCTAGTTTCAATCATTAGATCACATAATTCCCTCTTCTGCTAGATTCAAAAAGTCCCTCTAATTCAGAAATCTCCTCCCTCTGTAGGTATTTTCAAACCATGATCAAGTCTCCTCCTAACCTCCTCTTTGTTCAACTAAACTAGGGATGTTAGCTATCGGGTAATTGAATAGTCAAATAACCACATGAATTCTTATCAGTCAGTCAACTATTCTATAGTCCCTGGGGGTGGCGCCAAGAGCTAGTGCAATCCAGTCCCACTCCTGGGGAGTCCCCTGCCACACCGTGCTGCTGACTCTGATACAGAGGCAGCAGCCCTCATCTGTGGGAGGTCCAAACTCCCTGAGGGAAGAGGCTACTGGGGCCAGGGGAGGCTACCATGATGCAGTCTGTCTGTGGTAGCCTGGGCTGGCCACAGGTAGAGGCTGCTTTGCAGCAGCAGCCCCTGTTTGCGAGGAATCCGAGCTGCCAACAGCACTGGAGAGTGTGCAGGTGGCATTGTGAAGCCAGTGCTGGGGCGGAAGGACTGGCTTTTAAGCCAGTTCCTCCCAGTACCGGCTCCTGCTCCTCCTCTCCTTGCTGTCTCTGCTACAGAGGCAAAGAGGTGGGGGAGAGGGGGAGTGAGCAAGCAATCAACAACTTATTCTCCTTCCCATAATAAAATAATCACTTTTATACTTGAACTGCATCCACACTGGGGACGGGGAGGTGGAGCTGTACCACCTTTTTTACCCTGGCCTACTTAAACCAATACAGTGTCACAGTATCAACAAGGTCGACAATAAAATCTGTCAAACTAACCTCCGAACCAGGGACATTCTCAGGGTCATAGAGGAACAGCTTCATGCCGTTGGGATGACAACCTCCCCACACATCCCCAGTGTAAGGATCAACAGATAAGTTATCAATCAGTGTATCCAGTTCCAGCACCTATCAAACATGGGAGAATGTACAACGGTGACAAACGTTATACATATCAAAGTCAAACTTTAGTTACAGCCTCTCCATTCATTCACCATCAGCATATTTATCAAAGATATTTAGGCCTTTCAGTAACACCTGCAAAAATATGGACTTAAACCACCACAAATATTTCCCTTCAGTACTGTTTTGTCAAGTACTGTGCAGCCTTCATACAAAGATGATGGACACATTATAAATACTTGCTTCACCAACTCATTCCAGCTCCTACAGTTAAGGGGTCATATCATTAGCCCTAATCACCTTCAAATTTTGTTTGGTATGTAGTTACACAGTCCATTACATTACAGACATGAAAGTTGGCAGGGTCTTTTCCATCTGGGATTGACAGCCTGAATTCAAGTGGGATAGAAAGAAGAGGGAAGACTGGCTCTTGGGGTCAGCAAGGAGAAGAGACACGGATCACATGCAAGAGAAAGCAGTCCTTGGGACAGTTATCTTCTAGGATGCTATTAGCTGCCACACTGGATCCTACCCAGAGTTCATCTTTTTCAATATCCTGTCACCAACAGTCGCCAAGCACCGGATGTGTCACTTAAAATCTCAGTGCAAATTGGGCAATTTTGGAACAGCCTGTCCACAGGGGTTTAGATCCCTCCCAAAACTCTTATTAATACTATTATCTGGTGTAAGTGCAGATGGTTCCCAACTATGTTAGTTCTGGGGGGATTCTGCAATTTTACCATGGCTCCAAATGCAACAGTTGCAGAATTCCCCAGGACTAGAACATGTAACTATCCAAGCAAAGGCCTCTTCCTTCCAGATTCCTTGGGGCAGACACAATGTCTTTGCATATCTGCGCAAGAGGTAGGGATGTTTGATGTCATTTAATACATTAAATTGCATAACCACACCATATCTTATCAGTTACACAATTATTCAGTGGTCCCCAGCAGTCAGTGATCTCACGGCCTCTCTCCCAGGGAGATCCTGTCACCCCATGCTGATACAGAGGCAACAGAATGGGGCAGCAGCAGCTTCTGTCCATAGCAGACCCAAGCTACCCACGAAGAGAGGCTGTGCCAGCATCCTGCCTGCCTCCCCCCAGGCTGTTGCCACGGATACAGAGGCAGAAACATGGGAGGGAGGTAGCTCCTCGAAACCAGTGCTTATGGGGATCTGACTTTTAAGCCAGCTCCCGCCTGTCCCCACCCCACCACCTCCAGGGAGTTGGTACATGTACACAGCTTGTTTGTATCAACTCCTGCCTCCCCCTCCCCCATCCCATTGCTGCTTCTATCAGAGGCAGCAGCAGCAGAGGAAGGAAGGAATTGGGGGGGAGGGAGGGTAGTGGGAGAGGCAGTTCTATAGGATTCAGTGCTCAGGGGGGCAGACTTAAAAGCCAGCTCCCGCCTCCTCACCTTCACTGTCTGATACAGAAGCAGTAAGGGGGGTGGGAGTGGGAAGTGCACAGTCATTTATATTAACCGATAAGCCCAAGCTTTTTGTTTAATTGTTTTAACAACTACACACTAACATTCCCAGAAAGCAGGAATTAAATATTTGTACATTATGCCAGTGCATACATTTTAAAAACAGGTCTCCAGAGTGAGCCAGATCCTTGCCCCGCTCTGGCTGGGTGGTGCCACTCCAATGGCATAAAGCAGCCTTAAACCTGGTGTAATCAGTCCCTTGAGACTTTTCCCAGCATAAGGGGAAAGCCTAGGGCAGCAGGTACAAAGGTGCCAACTCAGCACCTGGGGGAGGGGCTGACAATAGCAGGTGTAGAGATTCTGAGCCCCAGCTGTAGGAATGGCCCTTGAGGATTTTAACAGTCTTGGTAACTCAAAGCAGCCCTGAGGTTGCTCTCACTTAGGGAGTGTCTAGACTACATGCCTCTGTCGATGGAGGCATGTAGATTAGACAGATCGGCAGAGGGAAATGAAGCCGCGATTTAAAATAATCGCGGCTTCATTTAAATTTACATGGCTGCCGCGCTGAGCCGACAAACAGCTGATAGCTGCAATAGGGCTTCTTCAAAAGAGAGCATCCAGACTCGCTGGGTGCTCTCTTTCGAAAAAGCGGATTGCTCTTTCGAAAGATCCGCCTGCAGTCTAGACGCGATCTTTCGAAAGATGCTTTCGAAAGAGGCTCTTTCGAAAGAAGCCTGCAGTCTAGACATAGCCCAAGAGATCACCCAGTCCACCCCTGCCGAGGCCGGATTATCTCTTTAAGAGGGATTTCTTACTCAGACCCTAGATCCTGGTCCTCAGTATAAGGGTACGTCTGAACTACATGGCTCCGTCGACGGAGCCATGTAGTTCAGACGTACCCTTATACTGAGGACCAGGATCTAGGGTCTGAGTAAGAAATCCCTCTTAAAGAGATAATCCGGCCTCGGCAGGGGTGGACTGGGTGATCTCTTGGGCTATGTCTAGACTGCAGGCTTCTTTCGAAAGAGCCTCTTTCGAAAGCATCTTTCGAAAGATCGCGTCTAGACTGCAGGCGGATCTTTCGAAAGAGCAATCCGCTTTTTCGAAAGAGAGCACCCAGCGAGTCTGGATGCTCTCTTTTGAAGAAGCCCTATTTACATTGAAGAACGCCTTCTTTCGAAAGAGGAACTTTCGAAAGAAGGCGTTCTTCCTCATGAAACGAGGTTTACCGCCATCGAAAGAAAAGCCGCGTTCTTTCGAAATAATTTCGAAAGAACGCGGCTTAAGTCTGGACGCAGGGGAAGTTTTTTCAGGAAAAGGCTACTTTTCCCGAAAAAACCCCTGAGTCTGGACATGGCCTTGAAGTCCCTGCAAGCCTTGCAATTCTCTGGTTCTGTGATCCTTTGTGTAGGTGTGGGTGAGGGGAAGAGACATAAGTGATTGATGAGACATTAAAAAGCTGGCATTGGAAATAGCTATGAGAATTAATCCTGAAAATCAGAACATCAGAATTCCTCACTGGACTTGCTGCCTGTTACTGCACTCTGCTGACATTTGTTTCATTATATGAAAAGTCTCCTAACGTGTATGTTAACCCGGAGATTCCAGTAACCAAACCATCTGGGGCGATTCACAGAAATACCAGCAACGGGAGCTCCTCAGCTACCGGAGACATGTGAAACGTGCTACTGCCTAATCCAGAGGCAACCACAAGCCGTTATTACCATAGCATCTCACACATGTTGCCACCATCTCATAACACCAGCCTTGAATGCACCCAATCTCCCCTAGGGAGGGAAGTAACTCCCATTGACATGAAAAGGGAATTATCTGAATCCCAAGGCAAGAGAACAGGAATATTTCTGTTCTGTAAATTGCCCTCTCTTTCCCAGTCAGATCCTACGTGCTGCTCTGAAAGGTGCTTTTTGCTCACAGGCTGCATTAATGAACCCTAACCTTATCAAAGGAGAACTTGACCAGTGCCACACTCAGGGTTGTGTGTAAAGGTTGCTGGTATTAGGACAAAGTGAACAATAATAATAGCTCACATGAAATTCCACAAGAATACCTCTGCCCCCAATACCACGGGAGCCAGCCCACAGTTCCACAGCAGCGCCATCTGCACGTACATTAAACACATTCTCTACCCTTAATCAGGCTATGATTGGATGAGATCCTAGGCTTTCTAAAGGGCACACACTAACTTTCAAACACTGTAGGCTCTTGTTATAAGGGGGTAACTACTTACCTTTACAGGAGTTAGACTCCAGTTAGCATGTTTTTCCATAAGATGGATATTATGAGCCATCAGGTCAGCAATATAAACATGCCTTCAAAAGAAAGTTGATTAAAGTATCTACACAGAAATAAAAGTAAATTCTATGTGTGCAAGCCTTAATTTTTCAGATGTTTTAAACCATCGGCAGGAACCTTTTTTTAGGTTGGTGGCCACTGACCCACAGGAAAAAAAAAAAAAAAATCAGTTGGGGGCCGCACACAAGGAGAAGCAAAAAAAAAGAAAAATAAGCCAAACCCTCAAAGACATGGCCCCCCAACTGAGAAGGAGAAAAACTCCCCACATTCTTCTCACACTAAAGCTGAGGGTGAAGGAGGGGCGGGGGAGGGAGATCCAGGCGAATAGATGTGTGTTCCAGCCCCATGGGCTGAGCTGTGGGCTCTCCAATGCAAGAGGGGGGGGGGGGGGGAGGCAAGCTGATTCGGAGCGCC